TTGTATGGTGAGATAACATAATGCATAAAACAACTAGACAGAGAGAAAAGGTACAATGGGAACTTTTAGTTTTGCATTTTGAGGTTTTTAAATATTGTGAAAATCGTATGTTTTTATTGAATTTTATTCTCAAGATTATTGAAAATGGGTATTGGTTTTGAAGCTTGGGGTTAGTGATATAAACATAATTTTCATCTCTAAAAATAGAGATAATGTATCTTCCTTTTGATAAAATGGAAAAGGATGTTTAAAAAAAATGTAGCTCAGTTCTAAATGTTAGTGTGTTGTTTCAGTAGTTAATGTTCAGCTGTTGCCCTATGAGTATTTATACAATTTTTCACTTTCATATATTCAAAACTTGTCAGGAATGTACAGTGCCAGAAATTCTTTTATGTATCCAGTTGATATAATCACTCTTGTTTTTTAGGGGCTGTATGTACATTGAAAGAAATAATATCAATTTTTGTGGATCTGGGAATTATCGCATTATTAATGCAAATACTTCCATTAGTTAAAATTCAATAGAAAAACACTTTAGTATGGAACGTACAGTGTGGGGATTTATTTATTGAATTATAGTTACATACTTGGTTAAAATCAAAATTAAAAAAATATATATAGATATAGAGAGAGCTTTTATATATATGTGTGTGTGTGTGTGTATATAAATAAATAAAAAGACATTAGTTGTTGGCTTCGTAGCTGAAATCACAAATATTTGAAGAAAAGCAGCTCTTGACCTGAATAAGTATACATTATTTCAGTTTTAAATTAGTTGTCAAGTTGAGCCTGTGAGGCTTTTACAATTTCAGTAGTCTTTTATTAGGAATAGTGCAAGATTTGACTTCGGGAGTCACTGTTAGCTTGTTTTTAAAAGTAATTGACTTTAAAAATCCAGTTGGTTTGGGTCCTCTTTAAATATGTCATGAATTGGAAACCCAACTTCTGTCAGGGTTTTGGACTCACTTATTCGTTCACAGGAATCTTTATAATATAAAGAGATACCAAGAACCTGTTAGTTTCCCCAATTTTTTAAACTGAAACTTTTTTCAGGATATTGAAAATCACCTGTCTTCAACTCTGCCATGGTAGCAGCTCAGTAAGGAAGAAACATGTACTGCTGCTGGTCCATGTCTTCCATCCCTTCTTTCCTGTAGTCCTTTGTGCATACACACAAACCTCACAGCTCTACAAGGGCCTGAGCTTCACACTACATTTCCCAGAATAAATGGATGATGTTTTTGTTAATTTAATTACAAAAATCCTGTTACCTTTTTAACTTGACAGTGTTGATGCACTTCTTTTAAGCAATGAGTCACTTTATTGTTAAAATAGAGCAAAATTTCACTTAATATTAGGTGTTTCTTCAGGAAATATTTGTAGAACTCTACTAAATCTTTGGCTGTCATCACACACTAGTATCTGATTATCACCCAGTTTCTCTTATTTTCAAACTGGTTGGAAAAGGTGGCTTGATTACTTTGTAGGCACTGCATATGTATGTTGACAGAAAGTGGAATTTTGCCTGTTGTGGAAACTGAATTGTTTTATAGCTCCTGAAATTTCTTTTCAGTGCTCATGAACCTTTTCTTAGTGCTTGTTTTGTGTTCCTGGTGGCATAATGTAGCTATTGTGGGACAAGACAGCCTGGAAAACTGGTCTTTTTCTGTTTTCTGGCTCTTTATTAATGGGGTGTCACGTTGGATGTTGTAGTTGCTGACAGTATAGGTTGCTGCATTTTGTACCAGTTGGAGCTTTTTCAGTATGTATTTGCTCTGTATAAGTTACAGTTACCAAACTCTAAAGGTCACAAATGTTTGACTGCTGTGGTTAGGCCCGTCTGCTGCATAATCTGATGAGTCGCAGGTTGAAATTGGTGGGTTTTTGTGGCATGGTTTCTCATATGTGCACTTTGACAAAGTCCAAATGATCCTACAGTTACAGGCTGGTTTAAGGGGGGAGGGGGAAGGGAAGAGGGGGTGGCAAAGACGAGGGAGTAGATGTATGCACTGGAAGAAGATGCAGAGGAGGTCAGATCTTCAGAGTACTTTACTTAACTAACTAGAAGGGCTGTGTGAAATGGCTGTTTCATTTCAGTTTGGGATTCAGCAGTTTTGGAGGACAACGGTTCATTTAGGGTGTTTCGGATCACTGTCCTGTTTCGTTTCGGCTGAATCTGTTTCGGAGATTCTGCTGCACCGAATCTCCTCCGAATCTGTTTCGAAGCCTAGCTGCATGGGGCTTGGGGCCCCAGTAGAGAACAGGATAGGGCCATGGGTGACTCCTTTGGGGGAGGGCAAGGGCTGCTGCCCTTCATGCAGGCAAGGAGACCCCCAACATGGATCTCTGCTGCCTGTGGAGCTGAGTTGAGGCAGGGCAGCAGCATACAGCCATTTCCCTGCAGGCCCAGCTCCGAAACTCTGACATTTTCTGAAACATCTACAAAACATTTCCAAAACATTTCAGATGCCTCGTTTTGTTTCTGGGATGTTTCTGACCCTTCTGTTTCAATTCAGATTTGGTGTTTTGGGTGCCAAAGTGGTCTGAAACGAAACAGCTGCTGAAATTTCGCACAGCCCTACTAATTTGTACCACCTTGCCTGCCTTGGTTTAGTTTCATTCCTTATCCAGAAAGACCCTATCCCAGGGGTGGGCAAAATATAGCCCACAGGCCAGATCTGACCCACAAAGGTACTTTATCTGGCCTTTGGCAGGTCCCTTGGTCCCGCCTGGCCACCCCTTGGGCACACAGTTGGCCTGGGGCAGCTCTGCGGCTAGACCACCTTTCTAGGCAGCGGCTGCTCCTTCCAGCTGCCACCGCCTCTGGCCCCAGCTGCACGGTACTGGCAGGGACCCGTGTGCACAGCCCCAACCTGGCGAGTCCCGTGCCTACTCCAGACTCGCCCATCCAGGTTCAGCAGCGACGGCAGTGCTGGGCAGAAACTGCTGCTCAGCACAGGGGAAGAGTGGGGCTCACTCATGGCTGTGCTACACACTCACACACCTCACTACGCACATGCACCCACGCACGCACCCCCAGCCACCCTCCCCCCCACAAACCTCATACTCACCCATGTACACACCCACACATACCCCCCACACCGTCCCTCACACCCCACATACACACACATCCACATCCCCCCACAAACTCCATACCCCTCTACACCCTTGACAATATACAAGTGTAAGGCCTCATTTTGAGCTCTTATGCCATCACCTCTATATACACCACACAAATGCACACAGATCAAGACAAAAATATTTTTAAAAACAAAATTAAAATATGTTATTGTGGATGCTTGATTTTATTTATTTATTTATTTATTTATTTATTTATTTTTTAGTATATAATCTGTTGTGTTTTTCCAGTTCCAAGATGGCAAACCCCCTTTCCAAAATGAGTACTTGTAGGGGCAATGAAAGACTTTGAGGCAAAGGTCAGGGGTTAGAGGGCGGGATTTCCAGTCCCTAGATGGCAAGCAGGGGGCAGCAGTTGTTAAGGGGCGGGCCACCCTTGTGGCCCTTGACAGCTCACCAAAACTTAAGTGGCCCTCCAACTGAAATAATTGCCCACCCCTGCCCTAAGCAGTAATATGAGAAATCTGTTGAGCAGAGAAAAGATTTCTTTATTTGGACTTTTGCATAATTTGCAGTGGATTTGAAAGGCTTACTCTTTCAAAGATGAGGGGATGCTAATGAGATGCATTTGAAACATTCATCTTTCATGGGGGGAAAACAGTTCTGTAGTGTTGTAGCAGTGATGGTCCAAGGAATATGAGAAGCAAGATTTGTTTAGTATTATCTTTTATTGGACCAGCTAAATAGTTGGGAGAGATGTTAGACAAGCTTTTGGGCACAAACCAGCTTTCCACAAGTCCAGGAAAGAAGCAGATGCTTTTAAGTAACTATTTGTATTTATATACTGGAGTTAAAGGAAGAGGACAGTAAACTTGTGGAGCAAACAAGTTATCAAACCAAGTATAGAGAAGCTGAATTGGATAAACCAAATTATGGGAAAGAACTAGATAATTTAAATGTTACCTGTGGAATACAGGGAGGTTAGCGGAGGGAGCAGGTAAATTTGTAACATGCCTAGAAACCACTATTTGTAGTTCTGTCCAATTTTTTTATATCCAATGAAGTTATGAATTTTTGTCCCCAGGCCTGTCTCCTAATGGTATTTTGTAGATTTCTGTTTGAGTGAATACAAGGACTGTGAAATCCCAAGGTAGCATGGTGGTTCTGTGAAGTGTTAAGGTTTTCCACCCCATTATCACTTCTCTGTGAGTTTATTATAGAGAGTAATGGTTGTGTAGTTTCATTCACATAGGTTCCAGGAGGGGATATGGTGCCTCGGATGAGAACGTCACCTTCTGTGATCGGCATGGTTTAAAATTCATGGCTTCTGATGTTTTGGTGCATATTGATTGAAGTGATGGTGGAAGTGAGTTGGCAGGGTCAGCTGTATGGTGATCTAGCAGGAAAACTGTTTCTAGAGTATTAGTTAAGGTTCAGAGGTTTGCAAATTGCGAGCTGTGGAAGGAAGGGTTAGGAATATTTCTCTTAAATGTAATCCCCTTTGATCTTTCTGATAGATTCCAGCATGGGGTAACCTGCGAGCCAGGGGTGTGGATTGCTGAGGGAGGTTTCTTTTTGTATTGTAGTAGGTTTTGCGCAGGGTATGTGGGTGCCTCGGAGATTTTAGAAAGGCAGAGGTTGGTCACAGGTGGTTGATCTCACTGGCTACCTGTTCTTTTGTTACTACTTAGAAAGATATTACAGCTAATTAATTTAACAAATACAAATTTTGGTGTTTTCCATTTAATTAGGTAGTTATCTTAAGCTTGTTCAAAAATATTTTAAAGCTGAAATGGTAGAATTTCTGTTTTTACACTGCTTGCTTTATTCCTGTTACAGAGGACAGAAAAACAAAGTAGTAATGAGAACTGGAACAATTGTAAATTGTGGCCCTAACTGTACCATGTTGGTGTTTTTTGTAGGTCTAAGCAGCCTCGTATAACCAAAGATGTAATTTGTTTCCATGCTGAAGACTTCTTAGAGGTAGTTCAGCGAATGCAGTTAGATTTGCATGAGCCTCCACTCTCACAGGCAAGTATCTTGTTGAACTGTCATTAAAATTTATTTCTCATGCTTCAGAGTACATTTTTTTTATCTTAGTTCTTGTCTTTTTTTTTCTCCCCCTTCCAGTGTGTCCAGTGGGTTGATGATGCAAAGCTTAACCAACTGCGAAGGGAAGGCATTCGGTATGCCAGGATTCAGTTATATGATAATGACATTTATTTTATTCCAAGGAATGTTGTGCACCAGTTCAAGACAGTTTCAGCTGTATGCAGTTTGGCTTGGCATATCAGGCTTAAGCTATATCACTCGGAGGGAGATAGTTCTCAAAATTCAAGCACCCATGAAGCGGACACACCTGCAGACCCCATGTCTTCGGTCACGGGACTTCAGACTGGCAGCCGAATTTGTACAATAGGCAGAAATACCTCCGAAGACACCAAATTTTCAGATGCATTGCAAACTAAATACATACAGCAGGAGTTCACGCAGATAAAACATGAACTTATTTCATCTCACCGAAATAAAGAGGAATCCATGAATGTTGATCTTCCTGAAAAGACAGTGGCACCTAATGATATGGAACGTCAGAATGTTACAACAAAATTGGATCATGTTGAATTGACAGAATTTAAGTTTGAAGTGGACTCTAAATTTGAATCTGGCAACAAAGACTTACAGGATAAGTTGTGCCCTGGAAGTCACTTGAGTCTGGATGATACAAGACAACATGGTTCAACATATCCAAATCTGCATGGACAAAGAGAGGATGACTTTTTGTGCTAAATTTGTACATATGGTTTTAAATTACTTTTTAAACTTAATGATGTAATAATGTAAAGATTCATAAGATCTGTAAGGCAAGCATGTGACTTGCCTTTGCGTCTGTTACAAGAAATAGTTTATGTAGCTTTGTAACATTCCTCAGTGCCTGTCCATAACTGTGAAGTATCAAAGCACTTAGGGCCAGATGCACTGTAAACACTGCAGGTTTAACATAACGAAGTCTTTAAATAATTTGAGTTGTAGGTTTTAGAGTAGAGCTGACATCTAACATATATTTTTTGTAAGATGAGCCAGAATTCTTTTTGACAATTCCAGGCTTTTCCATAGAGCTTATTTATACCAATTTTTTCATTTTAAATGTGTCAGCACTGTAGTGTAAATAGCTTTTTTAAAAAAATCTTTTTAGTGTGATTTATACTGAAATGTGAGCCACTTAATAAAGGTTCATAATAACAAATTGGTTTTATTTTTGGGTCTGCAAAAAAGAAATGATACTTCAATTGAGCTGCCTCTTAAATTATGTTTCTATCTGCACTGTACTTGTTGTAGGACCCAATTATGCCCTTGCTCTTTTCTGGAGCGAGGGGTTGGAGCAGACAGAGGTAGCATGTGTGGCATTCTGGATATGTAAGGCAAAATCAATCAGAATGCCTAAATACCCTGCCACAGGGCTTCTTATAGTTGCTGGTAAAATGCTTTTCCCAAGCCTGTTTTCAGATACTAGCAGTTGAAGAGGAGAGGCAAAGCCTTATCCACAGTCCTTCTGTGTTGTGGAGCAAATGGGCTTCCTTTGCACACTAGTAGTAGTAGTCTGCATCTTCATGGGCATGTCTATATGTGCACTTTTAATGTGCATTAAAGTATCACAAAAAAATTGCTCTTTACTTAATGCACATTAAAATAGGCTAATGTGCATTTTTCTAGTACTTCACAATGGTAGGCTCTTTTACACATGCTTGTGGGGAGGAGCGGCACTTTAATTAGAGTGGCTTTCTAGAGCAGCTCTGAGAGTGCCGCCGCATCTTGTGTATCAGCATCCCTGCACTTAAAAATGGCAGTAGGGGCATGAGAACTAAAGCTGATTCAATGAACTTTAGTTCAAGCACTCCTGCTGCCATTTTTAAGCATGGGGATGCAGATACACGAGATGCAGGAGGCTGGTTTGGACCAAGGAGGCTTGATGCACTGGAATTCCAGCACATTGAACCAGCCTCAGTGTTTGTATATAGGCGCTTGGAGGTACTAGATTTAATGCACATTACCTAAAGGACATTAATTGAATGTGCAGATGCGCCCAGTATGTGTACTGGGAGCCGGTGAGTTGCAGCTCCTCCTCTCACCTCTCTCCCCATAGACTATAGAAGGGACTAGCCAATACTTGGCTTTTAAATGTAAATGTGAAATGGAACTCTTCTTAACTGTCAATTTCTGAGTAAATTAGAGCAGGAATTCTTTCAAAGATAAGTTTATACAAGGGTTTCCATCATTTTAAACAGATAGAGACAGAGACCTAGGAGTCTCTTAAATTGAGGCATGAAGTAATTCACTAAGGAATTAGTTTGGACTTGTTTTTCATAAATTGATAGAAGTAGATAATGCTGTAGGATAATAGGGGAGAAAGGTACTTGCCAATAAATCTCAAGGGGAATTCCCTGCCCACCTTATTTTGAGCGTAAGACAGAATCATTCTCATTAACAGGAAAGATAACATGGGTGTCCGTGTTAATTTTCTACAGCTTCTTACTCCAGCCCTTCTAAGTTCCTCAATACTATTTATGTGCATTTTGTCAAAATGGCTAAGGAAAGATCATTCCAACTGCTAGTCATCTGATAGGGTAATGGTCAACTCTCTGTAATTTTGATTTTCTTTGTTTAATTTTGTGTGGGCATGTTGCAGTTTTAGCTTTAAACATATCCAAACTCTGCATTTTTTTCAGGTAGTTGCATATATCAGTAAATTCCACTGCAGCTTTCATTTTCAATTAAATGTAAAAAACTTAAGCTCCCAAGTCTGTCATCCTAACACCTTCCATATTTATGAACCATTTTTTGCTATCTTTCTTAAAACTTTCAGAAGTCTTTGTATCCTTAAAGCTATCAATAGTATGATTTCATGCCAAATTTCTAACTTTAATGGTCACATTTGTTGCAAAAGAATAATGTACTATTTTTGTGTGACTGGTAATTCTATTTTGTTAAGGCCCTTTGTTATTTTAATTTAATTTACTTACTCAAAAACACACAAGGTTGCTCTGATAAAATCCAAAATGTATTGTTTTACACTTGCACGCAGTGAAATCAATTAGCCTTCCATTTACTAGCACCTTAATCAGTTAAAAATGTATTCAGTAATCTGCCACGGTATTAATAATTCAAATGCTGGTATCATTAGTAGACTACCATAATTCTCTGTCTGTAAACAACCAACCATGTGAATCTTTCAGATATGACTGTTGGGGATTCCTTTAGTGCCCATATAGAAATTACGTCAGGTCTAGCTCAGACAAAGCTACCAAACTTGCATCCTTACTTCCCCTATTGTCCTCCCTGACCCAGAAACAGATTCAAGTTGTAGTGTTAGCCATTGATAGTCCATCATAATTTGATTTGAACTCTTTAAATGGCGTGTGTGACCATAGGAAACCTGACAAATACAACCCAAGTTCCTCTCTTTGCTTTCATGTTTACCGGTAAACTTCTGCCCACAGTTCCTTTTAGGTTTTGTGAACATGCACGCACGGTTTGTGCACGTGCTTCCACATTCTGTTCTTCTATTCTGCACTAACTGTCTAATGATATAATTTTAGAGCAGATGGGGAAGTTATGCTTGGTATTCTGCACAAAGTTGGCAGTAGGAGGTGTTCCAGATGGCTTAGCAGGAGACACGAGGTTGATTTAAACCAGCTTTAACTACTTCTGCCCTTTTTTTTTCTAACCATTTTTCTAAATGATTTCTATGCCTGCGATCCATATGTGGATCATCTACTATGGGTCAAGTATTTTTGGTCTTTGTCAATGTTAAACTTCCTAATGTTAAACTCTCTTAATCTTGATCTAAGTCTAGAGTAGGAAAATAGGCTTCATTTTTGATAGCAGCTTAACAAATATAATTATAAACATGACTTTGCACATAGCATAGGGACACTTTAACAACTTAAACTTGTTTGTGGGCCACAGTAGATGCATAAAATCTTTAGGTTTTTCCCTGTAATGTCTGGCTTTTTTCTTTTTTAAAAGTATTTCCATATTTTTTTCATTTTGAAACTTGTTGGACTCGAGGCATCCCCTGTTAGACTTGAAGAACCCTGAAAATGTTTAGTTTTCAAGCACTTCTTTGACTATAGAAAAATAACAGAGAAATACTTCTCTTACAGGGAATGCAAAAAGACCACAAGTCAGAATGTTTTTAACTTGCCCAAGTGCAGGGGGGCTGGACCCGATGATCTGTAAGGTCCCTTCCAGCCCCTAACAACTATGAAACCCTATGAAAATGGGAAGCAAGGCTACTGATTCCTGCCTGTCTCTGTCCTTTTGTTTTAGACTATTGAGGTGATCACCTGGCAATCCTTGAACATGGTACTTCACAATTGGAATATGAATGACACCGAAATTGCTACCTATTAGTTTCCTTTCCTATTCTAACGTGTAAAGATCTGAGTAGTGACTTACTGATTATAGATGCATCTTTTTTTTTTCAGTTTTGCTTTAAAAAAAAAAAAAAGAAGAAAAAAAACCTGATAGTGTTTCTTTGTCCTCCATCTGCTGCCTGTTTATTTGGACATGGTTGTATAGAGGGAAGTACCTTTTCTGAAAATGTTTATTTCCCAAGTCATTCACTCGTTGTCTAACACAGATCACACTTTGATTTTTACTGATCCCACAATATATATAACCTTTTACTCCTGCCACCAACAACTTCATATTCAGACTTGTGCTTCAGCAATAAACCTTTCATGCCTTCTTAAGTCACTGAAACTAATCCTGCTTGGTACTTCAATCCCCACCTCTGCATTGCACCCTCCTTGGCTTTTCAATTTTGTGTAAAGCTACTTTTTGTGCTAACTCCCATCTTGCGGGAAACTCCAACATTGCTTTATTTTCTTCTTGGCCCCTCCTTGCTCTCCAGAAAATTGGATAAATCTGTTATTAAGGCCATGTATAATGTACTCAAACAGAGGCATTAGTTGCAGCAATGCCTTTGCAATCAGTGGTGCCCCAATTTGGCATGCAGTTTTAGAAATTTGTTTTTTCTAGACCAAGATATTGTTTCTGATGTGGCTGTCATCACCTGGATTTCCAGTTTCTCAGATTCATTAATACTGTGTACCTCCTTCTTCACTGGCAACCTGTTACATGCAGTGGGAATGCGTAAGAGTCACTGCCTGAACTATCAGCTTTTGCTGGGTGATTTCATTCCTGGTTTAATAAGGCCTCTTCATCATTTACTTGGGTTTTTAATAATTTTCCATGCAGGATACTAATTCTGTTCAGTTCTACAAGTAAAATATCATTTCAGAAGGTGTTCATAGAAGTGGACAGCTGTGAAAGCAATTGTTGGAGATGAATCAGTTGATCAACAATGAAGGTACTTAGGCCCAAGGATAAGTTATTCAGGTGATTGGCTTTCCAAATAAAGGCTAATAACAATATGTAAAATAAAAGCACAATGTGTCACAAGGTTCATCAGTGCAAAACTTTTTCAGATGAGTGAATGATTCCTACAAAAAGTAAGATATATTAAAAGTTAATAAAAGACCATTCCCTAATATTGACATGACAGGATGTTAAATCAATCTAAAATTAGGATGAGATTGGAAAATACAGGCTTGTAATCATAAATAAGTTTGGCATATAATGTGTGACAGCCTGTTGTAAAAGAGTGGTATTGCTTGACTCTTATTAAATGGTAGAACATCCACAAACTTTATTATGTTTCTGAATTGTCATGCTTTTACTAGTTTGCATACGGTCAAACTATTTACAACAGCCTTAAGTGCAGACAGATCTATGCTGTTGCCTCATGTAGATATATGCTTATGTCCAGTTCTACTAATTATTGCTAGATGTTGAAATGGTGAATTTGGCTCCTATCTTTCATGAATTCTGCTGCTAAAATGCTGTTTGTTGAAAATAATTCTAGTGTCAGTGTGGATTACTGTAAGTAAATACAGGTATTTGATTAATATTTTTATTTTAGTAAAAAATGGGGGAAATACACCATGACAGAGCAAATAAAGTTGACATGGTGTGCAGGTTCCACTGGATATACAACATGTACAGGAAAGGAAATGAAGTTTTGGAAACAACCTTACTTTGATGTCCTGACACGTATGTTGTTTACATCGAGACACCAAATTCATGCTTTTTGTTCACTCAGCATCTGGTGGTTCAGAAATGGTGGTTGCCTTTATCAGAAACAAGTATTTATAGTGTAGTCATCATTGTCAAAAACATGGCACTTATT